GTTGAAAAGCTTTGTCCCGTTACTTGATCTCTGAATGTTTTTTTTTTGTGATTTTTTGATGATGTGATCTCCAAGCATATACAAACAATTTTGACGGTTTGGATCGTTGAAATTAGTTTTGGAGAATTCATAAAACGATAGTCAATCACGAGAAAAGTTAAACTGTAAATCATATTCAATCACGAGGACAAATAACCCTGCAGAAAATTGTTCATGCCCATAATGTGGTCATCCGAATTTTGTATTGACTGGTCCACTGATATTTCTGAAGGAAATCAAAATATATGCATGTTACCTGCGATATGATTGACATAGTTTAATCATATTGAAACTAGACATACCCATTTAATGTATATGTTGTATGCATTCGTCATCTTTAGAGACGTGTAGTGCCCGTGATTAAAAAAATGCCTCTCACATGAGTGTAAGCGTATGTGGAGATATAAGGTTTTGATCTCCCTCATTTTGATATATGATTGGATTTTTATTGTAGTAGATTTGATTTGCAAAATTACAATTGCTTGGTTCTTAGTTCTCCATGATTGTTTTATCTGTTATTGTTTCATTTCTTTTCATTCCGTGTGTTTTTTTTTTTTTTTTTTTTTTTCCTTGACTGGCCAGGAACCAGATAAAGCTTTTTGATTGTTTGGATCGACAAGGAACGATAAGCATTTTTGCAAGCCATATGAAGTCCATCCAAATAAGATTTTAGGACTATGTGTTGTCTTGCTTAATCAGGTTTTTGTTTTGGGTTCTATATATCTTACTTTCAAACAATTCTATATGGCTTCATTTATATGCTTTTACTTCAATGTTTGGGTGAGAAGTTGGACATCTTCTTCATTTGAAATATAAATAAACAAATTTCCTCTTTTCCATGGTGATCAATGCAAAGAGGATGGACCACTGGAGATCTGCTATGCCAAAGAGAAAACAAGTATGAAAGATGGAGATTAGTTCTTGACTGCTCTCATTGTGGAGGACACAAGTATAAACATTAAACACAAAGGTTTTTGAATTATATGTGGATTGAGGAGAAAAATATAAGAGTATATGAAATATAATTTTGATTTCCGTGTGTAGTGAATGGAATAACAAATTTTTGTATAATTTTTGTACTTTTGCAAACAAGTACCACTTGATAGCGAATTGTCAATTTTACTTGCAATTGGTGACAAACAACATTTTTAATGTGCACAACGTTGACATGCCAATGTCTAAAACCTAATAGAAATTTATAAGTTCAATTAGCATTTCATTAAAAATTAGTGCTTGTAGAGAAAAGGATATCAAACCAATGTTTTCGGAGCATCTGGGTGAATTCTAAAAGCCAATGCTACAAATTGCTTTTCAGTGGTAGGATTTCATTTCCTTGCAAACAAAGTTAACTTTCAATTCCAAATATTCTAGATTCTAATTCAAGATCTTTGGTTTCATTCTTATCATCAGACAAGGCCTTGAGAATTTAGTGCCAGTAGAAAAAAAATATAAAAACACTTTTTTAATTCATCGTCCTTGCATACGATTGCAATCAGTTATATCTAATACATACATCCGACAATCAATTCAGTTTTATATTCAAAGCTTCACCATTTTCTCTTGATACATTTTTTTTGCATTTTGTACTGTAATTGCAATTGTACGCATTCCTTTGCTACACCAATTTCAGAGTGAATTAAGGTTTTTTCTACATTTTGTACTATAATTGTAATTGCATTTTGTACATTTTTTCTACAAATTTTTTTTTCAAAAATACAATGTCCAAATTCATTTTAGTTGTACTCTATTTGTAGTGCTGATGTTGCAGAATTTATTGTCATCATTGAATAAATGGATTTCAAAGATAACAATATGGGTAATGTTAGGGAGACTAAATTTGCAGACAATATTTGTGCATTTTATCTTTCTTAATAGTTGGAAAAATTCAGATTTCATACTTATTTGTTTTGGTACCTGTGATAAAAAAACGTTTGATAATGTGGCACCAATGATAAAAAAAAAAATAATAATAATAATAACAATGGCTACAAATTGGCATACGTGGTTTCGACATATGTAAAATTTCTTTGGGTGTAACACCCGGAATTATAGAACAATAAGCCTTGACTATGTGCGTTAATTAGAAAGCATGGTTAAAATAATAGTTTGTAACACAATCATAGAGAAAAAAAAAATATCATAAGGAGATGATTGAAGAAAAGAAAATAATAAGAAATTGTTATGACATTCTCACATGCATAACCAAAGTAACACATCTTTAGGGGCATGTAGCGTCCGTGATGAAAAAATGTCACGCACGTGCGGTGAGGCTAGTAACTTATAAAAACTGCAATTTCAAACGCTAGAATCAAGGTTGTCTACTTGATGGCTATGGGTAGGAAAAAAATATGGAAAAGTGCTTCTTGCATAGAAGCATTCCTTAATTGTGATTATAGAGTTAGCATATATTTGGGTATATAAAGTTGTCAAGAGCAATGAAATTTCATTAATGGTAGCGCATGTTTGGCTGTCTAGAGGGGAATAGGGTAGTGCACTGGTGGTGTGTTTTTTTTTTTTGTTGTTGTTGTGGGGCGGGGCCCCCCGCCCGGGGGGTTTAGGGGGGGGGGTTGGTTTTTTTTTTTTTTTTTTTTTTTTTTTTTTTTTTTTCAAATGATAGATTTTATTAAATTAGGTGTTAGGTTAGCTACTGGTGAGGTTCGAACTCCCGTCGTCATGCAAGTACCAACATTTTTCCACTACTTTGGTAAAAGGTCACATGCACATTGGTGGGTGTTTAAACCTGTAGCAATTCATAACATTCACAGCTCTTCATCAGAAATGAACAACTACAAATTAAACTAAGCAAATTAATTTTTTTTAGAATTTAGTCGAAATCAGTAGAAGATCAAAATTATCCAAAAGAAACGAACGGTCTTGGCAGTGAAATTGAATTACCTGTCCAAGCGTTTTTTGCCTAGCATCCACCATTTTTAAAATCTGCAAATCGGCTTTGAGCTGTAATACCTTATCGAAACTGAACAAAAACTGAGCAAAATGAATAGGAAATTTAAGACAATGAAAGTGGACAAAGAAGAAGCATAAAACAGACGATGTGAGAAATGGCTATGTGTGGTTGAGTTCGTTTCTCCTTTTTCTATGAATAGTGGGGATTGAGTAAGCTGTTGTGGCCTCTTGAACACGAGGTCGGTTGCAGTTTCCATTGTAGCAACTGCTTGTAGAATGTCTTTCATCTGAAGGGTCACAATTTGTTTGAATGGGGAATGTCTTTCATCTAACGGTTGTAAAAACATCTCTACATATTACATTGTGTGTATTACGATTGTTATAGGTGCGTATTACGATTTTAACCGTATTCCATTAAGATGATTTTGTGTTTTTTTTTCTTTTCTTAAAGTGAGGGCATTCTTGGCATTTTGAATGCTTCACCAAACCGGTCGTCACCCTTTATATATATAGATTCAGCCTTATTATAGTTGCTATTACGATTTTAACCGTATTCTATTAAGATGATTTTGTGTTTTTTTTTTTTTTTTTCCTGAAGTGAGGGCATTCTTAGCATTTTGAATGCTTCACAAAACTGGTCTTCTCCCTTTATATATATAGATAATAACTAAATAATAGATAAACGAGGCATAACTATGCTTAAAATATCAACCTAAAAGAAGGGTGTTGATGTTCTCTGGATATAGGCAGTTGGGAGTCTTACCCTTTGTTGGCTTGGGTCAAGCAACTGGGGGAGGAGTTCCAAAACTGTCACTGGTCTTGGGTGCCCAGATCAGCTAATGGTGCGGCGCATGAGATTGCGTCGCTTGGTTTTCCGAAGATGAGTGATTCTGTTTGGGTCGATCGTCCCCCATCTTCGTTGATCTATGTTTTGAACAATGATGGTTTGCCATGTCCACATTAATCTCGTTGTGGTGGTTATTGGGGTGACGCTTCCACTCGGTGGAGGGGTCTTTATGTTCTATCCCTGTTCACTACTGGTTTGTCTCCTTGGTGTTTGCCTCTCTGTAGGCTTTCCTGTTGTTTTTTTGGCTTCTGTGCCTTGGCTGGGTTCCCTTGTTTCCCAAAAAAAAAAAAAAAAAAAAAAAAAAAAAAAAAAAAAAAAGAAGAAGAAGAAGGGTGTTGGCTCTTTCTGGTTGGTTATTGATCTTTCTTTTTTAAGACGGTAGCACTAGCAGCGTATTAATTTAAATATGGGACCAAGACTAAATTCTCTATAACGTCACAGTCGATGGTTGGAAATACCCAGTCAATCATATATAAAAAGAAAAGGTATCTTTTCACATATTATGAATATTAAAAATTAATATACACATTGTTTTTGTATTTACCTATTTAATTTAAAGGTAAACTAACTAAAATTCCTCAAAAACTTTAGTTTTAAAGAAAAATAAAAAATAAAGGTATAAGTGAATGGTACCAGGAAAGGTTAAAATGTGATTTTTTTTGTTAAAAGTGAACAGTACCGATAGTATTTTGTTAAAACTCCTTTTATTTAATGTAACTGGATTAAAAAAGCTCATAGCACACAACCATTTGTACTTACCTTCTTCCTATGTCTAGAAAGGATTATTTTAACTGCCTGCTTGAATTTGCCTCTAGAACAAGGTCAATAATGAGAAGCTCGAAGATAAAATCATTAAGGAACCAACAATCATGACGGAATAGCTTTATCGATCTTGTTTCAGAGGCAACTTCAAGAAGAAAATACATTAAAGCAGTAAAGCCTAATATAAAACATCAGTGCTCGTTGTAGCCCGGCCTAATCTTGTATGATCGGCCGGGTGCTAGATATCTAAATGTTCCAAGATCTCATACTAATTAGCAATTAAAAGAGCATTTTAAACCGAGACAAAGTGATCAAACTATCCATTGACTTCAAAATAATCCGACTTATATTAATTTTGAGCAGGATCGTTTTCGATCATTTCTGCTAAAGCGTACAATGCACTAATTTTTTAATTGTGTGTATAAAACATTAAAGAAGATTGACAAGCTAACAAGCAAATAGCTAGGTCTATATTGCAAACCAGTAGATGAACATATATTACATTGACATGCTAACAAGAAAAAGCATTACAGACATATTGTTTGCACCGTTTATTTTATGTGAATACCAGTTTGCAACAGAATCCTAATTGCTTAGAGCAGTCAGCGACCGCCTGAGAGAAGTGTCGACGCAACAGAAGAAAACCCCGTCCTCGAAGAAGACTGATATGACATTGCAGAATCATCAAAATCTTCATGGGGCGCAAACAGTAAGCCACTGGAAGAATGCGCATGAACTGACAACTCCGGCAACGGAATGTCACGATCCAAATACTGCACAACTTGGCGCATGCTTGGCCTATCTGAAGGATTTGAATGAGAGCATAACAACCCAAGCTTCAACACCAGTTCCACTTCTTCAGCTACGAATTCCGTGCTTAACTTTTGATCTCTTGCCTCAAGAATATTGTTTTTCTTCCAACAAGAAAACACCCAGTCGACCAAAATCACATCATGCGCTGGACCTTTTAGCTCTATTGGCCTTCTTCCACAGGCAACTTCAAGCAAGAATGCCCCGAAAGCGAACACATCGGTGTGTGTTGTGGCCCGGCCTAATCTTGTATGCTCTGGAGCTAGATACCCAAGTGTTCCTACAATATGAGTAGTTTGAGGGTCTGTTCCATGATCATATAATCTTGCAAGGCCAAAATCTCCTAGCCTAGCATTCAGTTCCCCGTCTAGTAATACATTACTTGCCTTGATGTCTCTATGAACCACAACTTGCTCCCATTCTTCATGAAGATATAACAACCCAGAAGCCACACCTCTGATGACTTTAAACCTTTGGCTCCAATTAAGAGTGGCCGCTGGTTGGTCGTAGAGGTACTTGTCTAGGCTTCCGTTAGGCATGTAGTCATAGACCAGAAGAAGCTCTCCTTTTCTTCTACAATATCCCAAAAGTGGTACTAAATTTCTGTGACGGAGGCGGCCAATGCTCACAACTTCTGCCACAAACTCCTTCATCCCTTGTCTTGATTCATGTGAGACCTTCTTCACTGCGACCTCAGTTTTAGAGGCAGGTAATATGCCTCTATAAACCTTACCAAACCCCCCCCTTCCCAAAAGTTCCTTTTCCTTGAACCCTTTTGTAGCAACATATAATTCTCTATATTTAAACCTTTGAGGTCCATACTCAAGCTCCCAATCTTCAAGCAGCTCTGCAAACTTCCTCTTCCATCTTATGGCATAAATAATGCCAACAATTGCTAGCAAAACCAAACTCACAGACATCACAGGCACACCGATGGTTAAAAGTTTAGATACTTGTTTACATCCTATCTGAGGCAGGTGGGGAAGGTGTGAGTGAACAAGTTCTTGAGCTTGCCCATTCATTTTAAAGCTCCAGCCCAAAACATAATGAGACGTAGGAAAAGAACCGGTGGAGGATGAGAAGCCAACGTACATGGTTTTTTGTAGGATTGGGGAAAGGTCATGGTTCAGAGATAAAAGTGGAGCATGGGGTTTACCAGCACCGACTGGACCCAACGTGACATTGATTTGCTTCTTGGTACCATCATATTCCACCCAAACTTGCATTGCTTGACCACTGGTGAGGGACAAGTTCCGAAACCCACGATTGTTTTCAGCATAGTATCCTGCGGTAGAAGATTTCACAGAGTTCAAACTATTAATGTCAATTCCTACATGGTTGTTATCGATGTCATTGAACTCGATCTCCTTGGTAGTGTCTAGCTCTACAGCAAAAATATGATTGGTGACATTGCGATTGTTGGTTGAACTGAAAAGGCCTAGGAAAGGGCCGTTTCCAGCTTGGGGAATCCCTATTTTTGGAGCAATGACGAAGGCCATTCCATGACCAGTTGTAAGCACCGGTCTGATAGCGAACACAAATGTTGTAGAAAATGAGAAAGCATGGGTATCAGAATATGAATTCTTGAAGGTGACTGGGTTAGGGTAGAAGGCATGGCCCCTTATCTCTTGAGAGTCATTTGTAACCATCAAAAGACCGTTGGGTGTGAACTGGGCTACACCGTCTAAGCTAAGATTTCCTGACTTGAAACCCTTGTAGATGAAGCTAACATTTTGAGCTGCTGCTAGGGTTGCTTGTATGAGTATTACAAGCTTGAAAAACATGGCTGCCATTTCTAGTTCTCTCCAAAACCTCTGGGAACTTTGTTATAAGCAATGAAGCTTAGCTGAGCTGTCCCTTCATTGCCTCACTAATTGAATGTGTTGTCTTTGTGTAGCAGACTAAAATAGTAATCCAGACTATTCAGTGACTGCCACCGTTAGCAATTTCTTGTTGAAATATCTCACATCGATCGTATCTCTAAGAAAAAAAGAGTTTAAATATTCCAACCTCACTTCAACTAATACCGAGATCTTTTGTGATAAAACCTCACACCTGAAAAATTGTGCAGGTGGTAATTACTAAGTTGGGGACAATATCGGTGTTGTTGGAAGTGGGCCTTTGGCCTGTCTCTCTGATAATTCTATATGGTATTAGAGCTTGGAAGTGGGATCGTACTACCACATGATGGGTGAGTCCTTTGTGCCTAGCGCGATGATGGTGGGTCCCTTGGCCCTACAAATAGGGTGAGTCCCCTTGGCTTTATGTGGTTGTCGATGTGTGGATTTTCCACGTGTAACCTACTAATTGGGTCCCAATTGAGAAGGCATGTTGAAATATTCCACATCGACCGCATCTCTGCGAAAAGAAGAGTTTAAATATCCTAACCCAATTCCAACTAATACTAGGCCTTTTGTGGTAAAACCCCACACCTGACGATTTGTGCATGTTGTAATTATTAAATTGGGGACAATGGTGTTGTTAGAAATGGGCCCTTGACCCGTCTCTTTGATAATTCTACACTTCTCAGCTTAAATTAATTTTAGTCTTTGTATGTGATTGTGATGGTGCAACAACCAACGATGACAGAGTTAGTTCTTCACTATACAACGTAGGAACAAGACCCTATTTATGTGATAAAACCTCACACCTGACAATTTGTGCTGGTGGTAATTATTAAGTTAGGGATAATATCAATGTTGTTGGAAATGGGTCCTTGACCCGTCTCTTTGATAATGCTACGCTTCTCAGCTCAAATTAATTTTAGACTTTATATGTGATTGTGATGGTGCAGCCTCCAACAATGAGAAAGGTAGCTCTTCACCATACAATGTGGGAACAAGACCCCATTCATCATAAAAAGAAGGGGAAATGACGCAAAAAAAAGCCAAGGGGTCTAGGGAAGACTATGGAGATAATACTTGGGAATCACTCAACTAGGAGTAATAGATGTGCTCGATGTCGCTAATCTTGGATTCACTCAACACAACTAAGTCTAACAGTTGATTTAAGAGGAAAAGCTCACTCTATTCTTATATTGATTATAATTCACTAAATTGACATCCTTTTGAGCACATAAGGATATGGAGATCAAAATAATTGATAGGTTAAATATTAATACTAAAGATTATGGTTTCTAGATATCTAGTTAAAACATGGTTTTGAAAGATAAATAGCCACCAACAACATGTATAATATATAGACCATATTAGTTGTTGGGTGCTGCATCATACTCCTCTTCTCAGAAAGATCTTGTCCTCGAGTTGAAATCCTTTCACTACAAGAAAAATAGCCACTGGGCACAAAAAATTAGTTGTGCCCTAAGAGGCTTACGGACACCAATATGTGTCCTATAACAGCAGCAATGGTAATATTATATATGCCCTCTATGGATGTGCTCTTTGATCAAAATGCGATGTTCTGTGCTCAAAGAGGCTATTTGTGCCTTAATTCTGACACAACGATGACAGACAACCATCACAATTTTGAAATAGGTTCTAAAAAAGGGCAAGACAAAATTGCACCATCCCCATTGAAACCTACATTGACATTCAAAGGTAACATTTGGATTAAAGACAAAATTGAACACCTTCTCCAGTTTAACTAATTTAAAGCGACAAATATATGTAATTCCTAACGAATTTCAAGACTACATTCAAAGTTTTAATCAAGCATAATAGTACTATTGCTTTGGCATTTTATTCCAACTAATTTAAGGGAATCAAACCCAGTTTCCATCTTTACCAACTTGCCAAAATTTGACCAGAAACGCGTTGAAATTATAATTTGGGGGGCTGTTTTGGGTTTTCCCTTTTACCATTTTTAGATTTTGTTTTTACCGTAACCTTAAACGGCGAAATTCACCGCGTGATCTACGCTCTGTTCTTGAATTTCAGTGAGGAGGTGAAAAGAATCCTGGTTTTTTCTTTTTTCAACCGAGTATGGGCAAGTACAGAGGTCAGGGGAAGCCCAGAGGAGGATGATTGTTTCGCAGAAAGACACAACCTTTGAGAGACCCAGATGAGGGAAAGAGAGAGATCGAAATCATGGGTTGCTTTCTTGCATGTTTTGGTTCTTTCAAAGACAAAAAAACACAGGTGTAATCAGGAAAGCAGGGTGGTGTGCGGAAAGGATAACCGGATGGAGATCGTCCGATCTCTTCCGTTCTCTTTTTTATTTTTTCATTTTTTTAAATTTATTTAACAGGTTAAAATGACATTAAATTTCAGCTGTGCAAAAATAATGACAGATAGATATCGAAATTTGAATGGAAGAATCATAGCTGACGTGGTACTACAATATCACCTAATAATTTTTCGGGGGAAGTTGTGAGAGAACAATTTATTGTGCCTGGCCGCCATTCTAGAACATAATGACAAGTGAGGAGTGAGCATGTGGATGAGGAGATGCCAACATACATAATCTTGTTATGGACTATGGAAAGGTCGCGCTTCAAAGATAAGAGTGGAATGTGGGGTTTATAAACAACGATTGGAGCCAAAGTGACATCAATTTTCTTCTTGGTGCCAGCATATCCCACCCAGACTTGCATTGATTGACCGCTAATGAGGGTCAAGAGAAGAGAATGCTTTTTTATTTATTTATTTATTTTTAATAAGGATGATAATGGATTAGGTGAGTCGAGCAACGCATAAGGTTTGGTTGTCGGACTACAACCTTACTCTCTAAACCCTAGGCCTGGCAAACGGGTCGTGTCTGTCGTGTTCGTGTAACACCTGTTATCTTAACGGGTCGTGTCGTGTCATACCCGTTATCTTAAAGGGTCCTTAACAGGTCGTGTCACTTTACCCAACGGGTAAAGTGACCCGACCCGTTAAGAAAAAAATATATTTTTTTAAAATTTGCACGTACCACACATTACCACATAAATATTACTTCAAAACATAAAACATTTGTCGTTTAAGTACTATTTCAACACTCGAAAATAAGAGCCTAATAAAAAAATAATACATACACTACTAATTTATTACACGTATTAAATGTGCAAGGAGAAAGAGTTTTTGTTCTCAAAAGTTTACACCTCCATTTACAAAATCTTCAATTTACATCGATCATCATGAAATTGTATTGGAGCTTTGGCTTGATCTATTGCCTTCAAGAGTTACGTTGAAAATGTTTTCAATAAGGTTTTCCACATCAGAACTTTTTTCCGCATAAACTAAGTATAGAAAAACCAAACATTAAAAATCATTCAAATTATGAGAAGTTTTCCAAAATAATAATACTATACCATATAAAAATATATTACCTCTTTTTCCAAATAGCCAATCTCGTGTGTACAACAAAGCTTGAACTGTTTCTGGTAACAATGAACTACGATACTGATCTAGTACTCTACCCCCAATACTAAATGCAAATTCTGATGCAACAGTTGAAATGGGAATTGTTAACACATCTCGTGCTAACTGAGAAAGTATCGGATAATGAAAACACTCCATTTGCCACCAAGAAAGAAAATTGTTAAATTAATGTATATAATTATTAATATTATAGTTGATTCATACTTTTATTAAGTATATAACATTAGATTTTGTGATATCCACATCCATTAGTGTAAATATTTTAAATTGAAGATCAAATTCATTCTTTGTATTCATATAGGGTCAAGAAGTGTAGCTGTAAAAAATCATCAAAATCAGAGTTAAAATAACCATTAAATCGTGATTTTTCATTTATAACCGTCGAAAAAATTTGTCCCGTTACTTGATCCCTGAATGTTTGTTTTTTGCAATTTTTTGCTGATGTGATCTAGAAGCATATACAAATAAGTTGACGGTTTGGATCGTTGAAATTAGTTTTGGAGAATTCGTATCCCATCAAAACGATAGATTGACTAACACTTAGAGTTTATTTATACTTTCATTAAGTATAACATAAGATTTTGTGGTATTCACTTGTGTAAATATTTTAAATTGAAGATCAAATGCATTCATTGTATTCATATAGGGTCAATGAGTGTAGCTGTGAAAAATCATCAAAATCAGAGTTAAAATAACCGTTAAATTGTGATTTTTCGTTTGTAACCGTTGAAAAGCTTTGTCCCGTTACTTGATATCTGAACGTTTGTTTTTTGTGATTTTTTGTTGATTTGATCTCTAAGCATATACAAACAAGTTTGACGGTTTGGATCGTTGAAATTAGTTTTGGAGAATTCGTATCCCATTAAAATGATAGATTGACTAACACTTAAGAGTTTATTTATACTTTCATTAAGTATAACATAAGATTTTGTGGTATACACTTGTGTAAATATTTTAAATTGAAGATCGAATTCATTCATTGTATTCATATAGGGTCAAGGAGTGTAGCTGTAAAAAATCATCAAAATCAGAGTTAAAATAACCGTTAAATCGTGATTTTTCGTTTATAACCGTTGAAAAGCTTTATTCCGTTACTTGATCTCTGAATGTTTGTTTTTTGTGATTTTTTGCTGATGTGATCTCCAAGCATATACAAATAATTTTGACGGTTTGGATCGTTGAAATTAGTTTTGGAGAATTCGTATCCCATCAAAACGATAGACTGATTAACACTTAGAGTTTATTTATACTTTCATTAAGTATGACATAAGATTTTGTGGTATACACTTGTGTAAATATTTTAAATTGAAGATTGAATTTATTCATTGTATTCATATAGGGTCAAGGAGTGTAGCTGTAAAAAATCATCAAAATCAGAGTTAAAATAACCGTTAAATCGTGATTTTTCATTTATAACCGTCAAAAAATTTTGTCCCGTTACTTGATCCCTGAATGTTTGTTTTTTGCAATTTTTTGCTAATGTGATCTCGAAGTATATACAAATAAGTTGACGGTTTGGATCGTTGAAATTAGTTTTGGAGAATTCGTATCCCATAAAAACAATAGATTAACTAACACTTC